GGCCACTGGCTTCAGCTTCACGTTCAACTCCTGATTAATCTGCACAATGCAATCATAAAACATGAAATCGATCGAACTCCCCGTGTCGATAATAATCCTTTCCATATCAAAGCCCGCTACTTCCGTTGTAATCACTAGGGCATTATTATGGGGCAACACTACTCCTTCCGCATCTTCTGCTCGAAAACTAATCTCCATCACTCGAGCAGTGATATCCACTCCCTCTCTCTTTCACTTCATCACTTGGGCATGCCCCCTCCTGGCATTGTTCGAGTCCCCGTCCGTCAGTCCACCCGAAATCATGTATATCGTCCCCCTCTTCACAAGGCCTGCATCCTTCTGACCCCCTTGATCTCTGCTTCCACGACTCCTCTTTCCTCCGCCATCCCTTCGACCGGATCTCCCCTCTCGAGCATCATCTTCCTCATCATCGTCTCTATCACTTCTTTCTCTCGAGTCCTCCCGACACCTCCTTTTCTCCTTGCCCTTCACCCGGTCCTGGTACATAAATTCCTTAAGGTGCCATGCTCGAATAAGACGCTCGATCTCGCCCTTAAGGTTTCGGCAATCCTCCGTTGTGTGTCTATAATCTTTGTGAAACTGACAATATCTCCTCGACTTTGGTGGTTTGGCCCTTCGAACCTCGATCTGGGCCATGTCACATCTCTCCCTGCAATGTCCTTCTCCATGGCTACCAATACTTGAGCCACATGTGCATTCAACGGGGTATAACAATGGAACCTCTTCCCTCCAGCAATGGGTTGATCCTTCCACCTATCCTCACGCCCTCGATCCTGCCGACCTCGCCCTTCCCTCCTGAATGATCCTCTCCTAGGCGAACTCATCTTGGGCGAGTTCACCGTCTCTTTCTTCGGCTCTGGTCGAGCCAACTCCCCCAGCTTAGCAAACTCCGCTTCCGTTTCCTCGAGATTAATGTACTTTCTGCACCTCTTCAACACGTCGTCATAAGTACGAGCCGGGGTTTTGGCCAAAGAAGTCCGACAGGGCCCCGCTCGTAAGCTCCTGATCAGTCCTCCAGCTTTGACCTCATCCACAACCGTCGGGATATCCAAACAAGCCTGATTGTATTGGGCTACATATTTGCGCAACGACTCCTTCTCGCCCTTCCTTATCGCCAGTAGGGTCAAGTAAGTCTTCTCCTGAGCCACCATGTTCGATTATTGATTTGTCAGCTTCTCAGCAAAATCCTCAAAATCTGCGATCGACCCTGGGGGGAGCTGTTGGAACCAATCGAGTGCGCATCCCCTCAAGGTCGATAAGAGTGCCCTGCAACTAACGAGGTTAGTATATCTATGCAACACAACCATATTTTCAAATGTCCTCACATGCCTCGGCGGGTCAGAGGTCCCGTCGAACACCAAACTTGTATCCCTGAAATTAGCTAGCAACGGAGCAACCAGTATGTCCCTCGAGAACGGGTGTCCTCGAGCGCGCCTCTCCATTCGACCATCCACCTTGGCCTGCAATTGACGCAGCTGCTTATCAATCCTTTCCATCTCACGGTCCTGCGGGGCCCCATCTCCTCCATAACTAGATAAGTCCTCATCCGCATTCTGGTGGGTACCCTCCACCGTGGTTGGGGCGGTAGCTGCTCAAGAGAGGCTGTTTGTGACCTGCTGCACAGCTTGCGCCGCCACATCTGCCACCATCTGCTGCATCTCTTGCCTGGTCATCACCACTTGCTGACCAGGATGCTGCTCCTCCATTTACGGTGGCTCTCCTCCCTACACCACGAGTCTTACCGGCTGCGCTCCAACCGGATCTGTTTGCGGCGGTGGTGGCATTGTTGTAGCACAAATTGTTATTTTTTTACAGAGTACCGAATCGAAAGATTCGTTCCCCGGGTTGATCTCACGAGGAAGGCGGTTTGGAATTTAGCTTTGACATTGACAACACATAAAAAGAAAATAAAACCCAAACATTCTAATCACGACTGGAGATATGATAATTATCAGCTAAGAAAATATAAAAATAATAATCTATCTAAAATGCAAACGAACAAAGGATGGAGAAGCTAGGGATTCGAGGAAAATTAATTCAAGTTCTAGCAAACTGGGCAATTCATTGTTCGGTTCGAGATTGACACTCTCGCTTAGACATATAGCGGTTTACTCCCAATAACTCTTCGTAACAAGGGATTGAACATAGAAGTACAAGCTCGAGCATACAACACAGGCCAACTATCCCAATCCCAATAACTTTTCGTAACAAGGGACAAGTCATCGAAACGCACGTATTTCAATCAAAACCCTATAGACTATTCAATTATAAAATCATCTACCTCATGTGAGCCTAGGTCTACGACTTCTCCCCTTTCGATTCTGAAAACCGCTAATTCAATTAGAAGGTCTTCAATCAACTAATCATTTAGAATCAGCAAAATCCTAACTCGACTAATAAATATTTAATCGTTTCCAATTACAAGATCGAAGTGTCACTCTTCGATTATATCAATCAATCAAACAAAATTTCATCAATTCCTAATCAAATCAACCCACACAAGAACGAATAATTCAAGCCCAAAAGATACGAATTAAACCAGAATAATCATCCCCTATCCCTAGCAATCGGATTTAGCTACGTAAAATAAGTTCGAAACAATTAATCATATAAACCCAAACAATCAATTTCATAAATTAAATGAAAATAAAACAACTTACGATTAATATGTAGAAATCATTCTCGAATCCAAGTTACAAGCTTAATCCAAGAGCATGAACAAAATCCATATGAAAAATGGAAAAGAAAAGTGTATTAGGAAGAAGAACAAAGAAGAAGTGAGAAATGAGATATCATGGTGTTTTCTAGGACCTACAGTTTTCACCCGGTCGAGGGTTTTTTTTCGATGAGTTCAAGATCTAATATTTATAGACGCAGGTGGCCCGCAGGCATGTGATGGCATCACGACGCGACATAGGACTTCACTGTGGCGCAGGGCAGCAGACGCGGCGTGGCAGGAGACTTCACCGCAGCGTGGGATGCACAGCGGCGTGGCAGTCATCACTCTCGCGGCATGGCAGAGGCGCGCAGCGCGGAAGAGGTGATCTTCACGGGGCGGCAGGTAGGCACGGCGCGACAGGGTGCTGTGGCGAGGTGCGGCAGCTGCAACATCGCAGTACCGGGGATGCTTGGGGCCTCTATCCATCTCGTGGCACCGGCGCGACGTGGTGAGCTCGTGAGGACCTGACTGACGCGGCGTGGGGGCTGGCATGACGCGACTCCTGGGGTCTCGTGGTTTATGTCGCACGGCTTTTCATGTCTTGGCTCGTTTGGACTTGTCCGAACTCAGAATTGAGATCCAATTTTTCCTGCTTGTTCCCAATGAACCCGTCTACTTAATTATGCTTGGACGGTAATTTTTTGCCAGAAATTCGGTCCTCCTGAGGCTTTCGACCTACACACCATAAACAAAGAAAAACTGAAAAAATACCTAGAAAACACGAGAAAAACCAAAATAGACCAAACACACAATGAACTATAAAAACGAATAAAAACTTACGAAAAGACCTAAAACGGGGGAAAAAGAAAGACAAAACAATAAAGGAAAACACAACAAAAATGGGACAAACAGGCATCACCGCCGCAAGTGCTGCACGATCTTCCTAGGCACGGCTAGAGCCCGCCTCTCCTCCGGGAGCTACCAGTGGCACTTTCACACCTTGAGGAGCAGGCATGGGAGTGATCGACGTTTGCGAAGGGCCGGAAAAACCCGGAGGAGGGCCATGCCCTAGCGGCCTTGTCGTCGTCCAAGCTTCATCGAACAACGACTGTAAATTGATTCTGGGAATTCCGTCTTCCATAGCTACCAAGCTCGATAACCTCAGCACACAACTTTTCGAACGAAGTCCCCACAAAAAATGGTAACAGAAAACTCTTCGACCGGCTAGAATTCGAGTAATCGCCTTCCTTCTCGTCGGTTGAACGTCGTGTACCTACAAAGAACTCTCACACCGGAGGAGTTTTCTGGTAAAGAGCCTCCAAAGCTTAAGTTAGTGTTTGTTCAATCAATTCTCAAGAGTAAAAATGTATTGATCATGTTGAGCAAGAAAGGCTCACCCCCTATTTATAAGGGTGAGATACCTGACCCGAGCGCTGCCCGGATCTGGTGAGCTGTCTGCCCCAACTGCCCGTCCGTACACACACAATGTGCGTGGGTCAGAGGTAGCTGTCGCCACTACCTTCTGCACCAATATCTCTTCGACACGTGTCCTCTGCACATGGGTAAAATATTCCCCCTTGATTTCCCTGACGTCACTTTGACAATTTTATTGGAGACCCCATATTTGACCTTATCTAAGTCAATATTCCAAAGTCCTACCCCCAGTACGGGGTGCTCGACCATCGGGCATCTTTCAGCCCATGTATCGATCACCTGGGCTAGTCTCTACTCGATCTCTTCCTTTTTTTGACTAGACTCTCTCCGCCCTTGAGGTTGCTTTGTATCCTCGCTCTCTCGACCGGTTTAAGGGGCTGATTTATTAAGGTATAATATCCCATATCAGTACTAAATATTATTGACCTAAAATTGTGTAAATATCTTTTTCCAAAAATGCTATGTCTGTCAAATTTAATACGATAAAACATGTATTTTTTTTCATAACGCAGGATTGCATCGGTGCCATTGATGGAACCATCATACCCGCATATGTACCTGAAGAAAACCACGTGAAATACAAATGTTGAAAAGGTTACTGGCCCAGAATGTGATGGTGGCGTGTGACTTTGACTTGCAAATTCACATTTCTTTTGGTGGGGTGGGAAGGGAACGCGAATGATGCGCGTATTTTTGCGGAAACATTGAAGGACCTCCGCCAGAAGGTATGTTGTTACATTATGTTTCCACTTGCACACATTTTGTATGTTTTTTTTTTTTTAAAATTAACGTTATATTAATATATGAACTTACTATACCATAACTAATTTGTATGACATGAAAATATTACGTGGTTGACTCGGGCTATGCCAACGTGCCGGGATTCATGGCACCCTATCGTGGCGATATGTACCATCTGCCAGAGTGGACCCGGTCAAACCAAACCCCTAAAAATGCACGAGAGCTATTTAATAGACGACATGCCACTGTCCGGAATGTGGTAGAACATAGATTTGGTATACCAAAAGGTAAGTTCCCCATTATAAAAGACCTAATTCCAAAGTACACGCCTGATTGCCAGGCAGACATTGTTATCACATGTTGTGGTCTGCATAATTTCATCCTTCAGCACCAAAAGTTCGAAAATGTACCTCCGGCCATACAAGACCTGGATTACATACCAGAACCCGATGAAGACGATCTAACTAGGCCTTTAATGACAACTTTAGATACCTCTGAAGTTGCTATACGTGAACAGTGTGGTTTGCGCAACTCCATTGCTGCGGCCTTGTGGGCCAATGAAGGTGGCCGACATCGTTAGTTAATATATTATTGAATTATGTTGTAGTAGTTATTATTTATTAATGTCGTTTTCCAAACTTTGAAGACATATTGCATAAATCATTACCGCGTGTTAAACTTTCATTTCACATTTGTATGCATATTATATGCCTAATTAATAGTAATGTGGACTATAAGTATACGAAAACATCGGTTATCCAATCAATATTTTATATCTATATAATTCCCTAATCCGTATTCATATAACATACATTGTTTTGGGTCGTAAAATTTATCACGTATAAATATAAGTTGACATTTATTTATTATTACAACTTAGAGCATCTGCATCGGGGCATTAATTTGCCCCGTTTAAACGGCAGAATATCGTTCATTCCATTGCGGGACATCCATTAAGGGGTGGGCCCCTTTGTTCGTTCATTCTATTGAACGTGCCTTTTTTGTTTTTTTTTTCTTTTATTTTTGTTTTTCTTTTATTTAATTTAATGCACTTTGGTGCTTTTTTATTTATATTTTTTGTTTTCATTTAATTTTAATCACAGTTCCCAATTATTTTATTTAATGTATTTAAATTATTTTTTCCTTTTTATATATTTAAATGAATTTTATTTATATCACACTTTTTAATATGTATAATAAATAATTTACATTTTGTCATTTTTTATTCACCATTATTTGGACTCATTTTGCAACCAACAATAACTATTATTTTTTTAAATCTATAATTTTTTCTTATGTAATCTTAACTTAAGTTATTTTGGTCTTGTAATGTTATTCTATTTTCAAGCATTTAAAATTTATTATTATAATTTTAATATATTAAATTTTTATTTTTATTAAAAATTGAATATTAAAATTTATATTGAATGAGTGGATAAAAGGTCTCATGTATGTAACTAAATGAATAGATATGAACGTGAGTGTGTGTTTAAATGGAGAGAGATTTAGTGGAAAGATGATGTGGAGATGATTTAAATGAAAGAGAGTGTTAATTTTTTATTGAATAAATTATAGGGATGTGGATGCCCTTATAAATGAAATAGAGTTTTTTCATAAAGTGTTGACATTTATTATTATGTTTTATTAAAGTCTCGGTACTATAGTTTATTAGCTTTATGTTAAGAAATAATTTCACCAAGTTGCATATCAATTATATTGGTAGAAAGAAATATGATTACTTTTATGTAGTATCATTCTTCATTTTTACTATTTTTTAGGAATAATATATAAAAGGGTTAATTGCTAAATAAACCTTAATCTTTTTGCGTTTGGCAATTATATCCCAATCTTTAGGTAATTGCAATATAATCTCGACCTCAATTTACTTATTGCAAGTCAAACCTACAACCGTTTGGACCTTCCAAAAACTGGTCGATTTGAAGGCAGTTCGAATAGATCGGAGCTCATTATTACCGGTTCACTCCAGATTTAGGAGAAGACTCATCACCGGTAGCTTACATTGACGTGGAATTTTCGGCTTTGTGCGTGGATATACATTAAATACGTGGAAATTGTCAAATCGCTACGTAAATGGCATAAAAACCCGTGTCCATGGACGACTTTGGCACAAAATCGATCTACAAATCCCTAAAATCAATCACTCTGCACCAAAATTTGCAACAAGTAAGTTGAGGTCGAGATTATATTGCAATTACCCCAAGATTGAGATAAAATTGCCAAACACAAAAAGGTTAAGGTTTATTTAGCAATTAATCCTATATAAAAACACCTAGTTTCAATAAACAACCACATTGGAGATTACAAATTGTTCCACAACTATTTTGCAAAATATATAAAAATGCAACAGCAAATGGATAATTTCAAAAGTACAAACACAACTAAGAAATGACATCAATTTCCTCTCCTTCTTCTTCGCGCTGCCATACGTCGTTCTTCGGCCCAGTAGTCGCGAACAACTTGATCTAGTTTGCGAGAGTTACGTTGATGTCTCGCTAAGATTTCACCAGGATATGGGTCAAGCCCTAGGGGTTTGAAAATCATCTTCAGGATTTCCCATAGAGGCTCAGGATTGTTGTTACAGTAATGACCTGCTAATGCCCAAAGCTGAGAGAAAATGACGTATAAGAATGGCAAAGTTATGAATGTAATTTTACAATTATGTATTACATACTTATAGAATAAAACAAGAACACAAATAAGACAAAAGAATTGTTGTACAATTTACAGACCTCAATTGCTTCCTCACGATCGTCCTCCTCAACATAGATGGTATTTGCGTATACATCGAAAACAACAAATGGATAATCTACAAAATATTTAAATGTTCGATACCTTTCTTTCAAGACCATGAATGTGGTAGAACATTCGTCTAAAGTAAAATGTTGCCCAATTTCACCCAAGCAACTTCGGTATATTCTATCAAATGCCATAAATACGTCAAACTCGGAGGTCATCCCTTCTGATCGGATGTAATGTAGAAGGATGAAACAAAATGATTCCTCAGTTGGTGGAAGCTATTCGTTTGAAAAGCCTTCCCGTATATGCGGAAATGCTCTTCCTTTGTTTCTGGCAATGATAAATCCCGCATGGTTGTGAAAAACAAATAAAAATGATATGTATGTTGTGTTGTGGTGAACTTGTAGTGCCAACCATGTAGGTATATATAGGCAAATTTTATTGGTAATAATTGAATTGGATATAAAGGCATTACTGCATACTGATCATATGTACGGTACAATTACACACAAAATAGCGGATAAAATGTTATACAGGTGTGAAAGTAGCCTGCAATAATGGCACAACCCATTCTTACACCTAAAGTGGACAAATATTACAACTCATTTCCGTACTCATAACAATTAAAAAAATTTCTTGCCCATGCCTTGTCACTTCTAAAAAGTGGTAAAAAAATATTGCAATATTGCTTACACCGAAAAAAAAACTTGTTTTTCATTTTTTTTTCGTTATTTGCTTCCATACATCCAAATGAATATTGGAAGTTGTGAACAATTATAATAAGCATAAAATCTTCATTTGCATTAACAAATTTTTTAAATAAATTTTCATTAAATTGTGTCGCCTTTTCATAATTCATATATGTATATTAATATGTGGAAAAAATACCAAAATCATCAAATACATTCTTAATTACCAATTCATCAAATATGTTATTATAGCGCATAACTTTACCAAATTAAAAATATGAACTGTTAATCATCAAATATGATTTTATATATTTATACCTAACAATGAATAATAATTAAATAATAATGTATCTATTGTTAGCGTGTCACTTTGACTGTATACTAATTACATGCAGTATATAATAGTAGGAGTTTACTCAAAAATCTGTGACTTTCTTTTCATTATTACGTCTAATTTTGTACATACAAACAAGGATACAAAAATGACCATACGCAAAAAAAAATAAAATAAAAATGGATAATAATAAAATTAATAATTTCATTACATCCTGATGAATTTGATGAGTGCTACAATAGTTAACAACCCAATGACCACAAAAAAACCACAAACAAAAAATGAACATGCAACTACAAGGAGTGACGGTGTGTTGTTAACATTGTTCTTTGGCGCTTGAGACATGCTTGAATAATTGGACCCACGAGTTGTATGTCCACTACTTTGCGCAGTGGATTGCGTAGTACAATATGATTGAGCACTTTTCCGTGCAGAAAAAGAACTGTACGTATCATTATCACAAAGAAAACTCCGGGGGTGTTGCATTCCTTCTGGACACCGAAAAAATATGTACCATAATTTTTTTCCATTTTTGCCATGAAACAGTACATCCGACCACGTTCGCAAGAACATAAAGGTCCTAAGAAACCACGATTTTTGGTCATTTTTTTTTGTTTGTGGAACTCATCCTTATATAGCATCCGAAAAGTATTTTTCCCATATGCATTGTCCATCCATCTTTTCCCTCTTTTTCGTGTTTAACCTCGCGCCAAAACAATCCTGGCCATTATCGCGAATCCAACTGCCAATTGGACAAGAATATCTTCTTTTTTTACCTACGTGTCACGTTTCTCAATTTTATACAAGCTTTTCCGTCTTTTGATAATATGACATGCATTTACACGAAATGAATGAGAACCTGCCACACCTCTCCCACTCTCTCTTGTAGAACTGACAAAAAAGCCTTCCCATACATTTGCAATAGGGAAAAAAAAGGAAAAGGTGCAACCTTATAAAAAATCACAATGGACAAAAAACAACTTGTAATTGCATTGTGCAGTCCTGTTTGGATAAGACCCAACAATGGGCACGATGTTTGTCCCATTTTTATTACGTATTTCGTTATTATTTTTTCCTTTCTTTTTCCCCCATATTAGGTATATTAGTTGGTTTTATCTCGCTTTGTAGTTTTTTCTGTGTTTTTCTTTAACTCGAGTATTTTCTATATTTTTCGGTCGTTTTTTCGGTATTTCTTCGTATGTGGTGTGCAGGTCGAGTCCTTGGCCGATTTTGATATGAATGAGGAAATTGATTTGGCGGGAAACGGAATCGATATAGGTTTCCAAACGAACTCGGACGAACACGAAGCACGAAGCAGTCCAAGGAAGCTACAGCTCTTAGCCCATATCACACATTTCTCCTCTATATTCGGCCGAGAAATCATCATCTCCCATGCCTCGTCGGGCCCCAATTCGTGGTCATCATCGACCTCTGGCGACCCCGACACTCGGTAACCCATTCAATTGTTCATCGAGCATCCACCGACTACAGCATCATGCTGCATGAGCTTAAAGTCCGCACTGCAGCAGACCACGTCCTTCACGCCATGTCTCGCTTCTTCTCACATCGAGTAGTAATGGTTTGATTCTTCTTCCGCGAACTACGGTGCGACGGTCTTGATCGTAAATGAGAAAATTGGTTATATAGAAAGAGAAAAAACGCTTCGTTCGTTGGGTGCAGGAGTGGAAGAAGAATACAAGCTTGGGTGAACTGCTGGAGGGAGAGGGTCCTATAATTAAAATCAATAATGAATTCAATTTCCCTAAATTAGAAAATAATTTAGGGATTCATTTTTACCACTCCCCCCTGCACGCCGTGAAGTTCACGATTTGAAGCTGCCTTGAATTGCCCCGTCGCGCCGTGACAAGCTCAACCGTCGCACCGTGCCAGAAGTCCATGCCGGCCGTGAAAGAACCTTTCTCTGCGCCGCGGCAGGCAACATGCCGCGACGCCTGCTGCTTTTCTCCACGTCGCGCCCAGAAATCCTTGGCCGCGGCCGTGACTTCTCCTCCCGCAGCCGCAACAAACAATCAAATTCCAACGTCCAAGTTCAATGCTGAAAAAGTCGCGACCTCGGAGAATCTCGCGGCCATGGAGCTTCTCTTTACCGCGGCCGCGGAGGTCACGCTGAGCAGATTTTTATATAAATTTTGAATC